GAGGACTAAGATTTAATGCCTCGTTTCCAGTAAAAATGGGTCTACGGATTTCTACACTCACAATACGAAACACGGCAGTATTAAGCTGCTATTTGACGCTGGTATTGTATGAGAGCGTGGCCCTTCCCCGGTCAAGCCGACCCATTCGTGCTCCAACTATAATATAGCTGCTGCGTGGCTCTACAACGTATAAAAATCGGAGAGAGAGAGATTCACAAAAGACTTTTAGCGCTCCTTTCTCCGTTGTTTGCATATTTGTCCAGCACTAAGAAAGCGTACGACAATCCGTGAATAAAAGTCACTTTTTCTGAAACGTTTTTGCTTATTATAAGGAAATAAAGAATCTATATAAAATATAGCCAACTAAGAATCTAATTGAATTACATGCGTTCATATTATCAAAAAACATTTCATGGCTATCGCATAATATAATACGAGAGCTCAAACGTCGAAGTTTTTCCGGCGATTAAATTATAAATGTTGTTCTCGATTAATTTATAATATTTTAAAAATCCTTTCGAATGCGAATTTAATTGAATATTTCGTGTATGCGTATAATTTTTCGAGTATACTAAGAAGAATCAACTCTTGAGAGTCAAAATCGTGTCTAAAATGCGATATTCAACAACAGAGACCTTTGTAGTTAGATACGAGTACCATATGTCAGGATTTGTTTTGACATATCACGATATCTGGGCTTTTGTCAGGATTGCGGTCGGATTTTGAAAATGTCAGGATTTTTCCATTTTTCAAGCAAAATACAGTAAGTTTTTGCGTAGGAGGGCTGCCATTGCCTATAATTGTTAAAACGATTTTTTTCTCCAGACTTGTAAATAGGATGGATGAGGGATTTTTTGGGGTCAGAGGGAAAAACTACTTTTGTAAAACAGAGGTTAAATATGAATATGAGCGGTGGTACTGTAACGTTTTAAAATGAGAGCATTGATACTCTCATTTTAAAACGTCGTCATTTTAAATCTACTTCAGTTGAAGAACTAGTACAAAGTGAGAGGAGCTCTTCTTTGACTTCCTTATGATCGGTTTTTAAAACAACAAATGAATTTGGATTAGAACTTAAGTTAGTAGAGATGATTTGATAATTATTTCTATTGACTTTATTTACTATAATTTTATCCACACCAACAAAATATGAATTTGTGAATTTTTTGTGAAACGACCAACAAAATTAATATAATAAATTTGTTATTCCTTCACGCTTGTTAATTACGTTTGAAACAAAATGCCAGGACTTTTCTATAGAAATCAGGTTATTATATGCAAAAGTATGTGACTTCTACAGCAAACATCCATCGTCTCATCCTCCGCATATTTTTTCCTGTCAGAATATGATTTTTTTAAATGGAGAAATAGAGATTTTAAAGCCATCAGGTGAGCCTCATATTATTTTACTCCCTGTAAAAGAGTACGCAGCTCACCTGATTGTAAGTGACTGTCGTCGCTCAAGAACAACTGCAACACCAGGCGAGTGGCAGATGCATTGCCGGCCTTTTAAAACAGAGTAAGCTCTTTTTATGAAGGTCCCTATGTCCCTATATTCCTATGGCATTCTTCCTTATATAGATGTATGACCAGCTATGAAGAGGTTATTTTCGTAAAAAGAATTTTCATAAAATTTAAATCAACCTCTAATCAAACAAAGTAACTCTTTTTATCCAAGCTACTCGATTCCATTGAGCTATTATGTACTACGTATAGTTGCCGACACGAGTCGTGAGCACGGATAAAATGTAGTGGGAGCTAGGTACACTGTCGGGCAAATTATTGGGTACCTTTATTATTTCAATTCGTAATTGAATATTTTCGCCGACTTTTATGAAAATGTTTACTCGAACACATCAACTATTACTTTGATACAGTAATGCTGCAATTATTCGTGTCCGTTATTTTATTATCTACTATAAAGTATTTAATGTATACCTGGTGGTTAGAATTGATTATTTTATTAAGAAGAAGGAAGAGGTGATATGCCTTCCATAAAATCTGGTGTTGCGGTGCGCCGTACAATTGCTACTGAGACATTAGTCGCCTCAGCAGTTTGTTTATATACGTCTATGATGTTTTTTGCAGTACCTAATTTTTTCATATAACTAAACACTGAATAGACCATTTGTCGGGATTGTCTATTTAACACCGAATTCTTCCTTCTCTGCATATTTAGACTAAAATCTGAACACTTTATAACAACAAAAATAATTAAACACAAGAAATAACAAAAACAATTAATAACAAGGAATACACAAACAACAATTAACAACGAGGCAACAAAAGCAATTAACGAAAATAAACTAATTAAAAAGTTATCACTAAAATTATTGCTCTGAAGTGTACGCAAGCCGAATGATACGTTCGAAACCAATAAACGACGAGAATCGACTGATGAACCAATCACGTTGAACGTTACCGTGGTCAACGTCGTATCGACCAATAAAAAGTGTGCTCACGACTTATGTTGGCAGTTATACTAGAGGCGACACTGCATTCAGCTACTCTGTTCCACTCAACTGCGGTGCATACACCGCACTTTAATCAGTCACTCGCTAGGCGCTTGTAGAGTTGTCACATATCGTGTTGATTTAAAAAAAGTCTCTTGACAAAAATATACCGTCGTGTGTACTTAGATATTGCACAAATAATTCAAGAAATGCCAGTAAAAACCAAGGAATTACTTTTCATCGGTTAATAAGACACTTAATCAATAAAAAAGTATTAAAGATTAATAATAAAACAAATTATTCCTAAGACGCCATCTCGTGTCATGGAATATAGATTATGAAATTAATATGTTCAGATTCGACATTTCTCTGGGTACTTAAGTATAGGTCGAATATATTATTATACACATTTCTTTTTGTAGAAACATGTATAAGTTATTATAATTAGGCTAAATTTTTCATGTTTAAATCTGCTTATTATTCTTTTATTTTATTTTTAGGTTTCCACATCAAAGTCAAAGCGGAATAAATTCGTCCATTTTTAACTATCGCGTGCCCAGCATTTATGAACGACTCTTATTCTAATTGAAATAAATTTTGTTATGTTAATAAGTTTTGTTATCATAAATTTAGTACGTTTTTTATATTTGACATAGATACCTTTTAAAATATTCAGATAAAAATATAATTAAAATATAATTGTGATAAAATATTAAGTATGTAATATTATATTAAATAAGCAAATATAATATACAAAATAAATGACAAAATTTAAATATTGTTCTCGATATAATTTACCTATTTAACAATACAATCTACTATTACCTACGGATCATTATACCTATGTTTATTCTATGATAAAAAAACCAACCGCGCGAACACAGAGTAGCGCACATTTTTTGTTTGAGATAGCTGTTCTAGTACGTAAGTACATATTACTTCAATGCTCGATTCAGAAATATTTGATCGAGTGAGACGTATGGATTTCTCGATATCTAATGAAACACTCGATCGAAGTTATTAAAAATTCGAGCTAACATTCGACTAAGTGCTAGCTTTTATTACAGGAGTGCGAATTACCTTAAATTTGAATAAATTTCCATCTATTCAAAAAAGCGAACCTATCAGAAGTAGGCTTAATGTTACCAGTTATAGAATGTGCAATTTTAATATATCTGTGTAAGTACACTCAGGTAAAATAGCAGGAAGGAATACGAATGTTTAAAAAAATGATTTTGATACGTTAAATTCTGCGATGTGTAAAACCAAAATAGTCCCGCTGGGTTTCTCGCTGGTTCTTCCCAGGACAGAGATTTTTTCCGAACCAATGGTAAATGTAAAAAATGCATTTCAATAAGAATTACATGCATTCTATATTGAATTAAAATGATTTTATTACCGACTGCAAAAAGGAGGAGGTACGAGTATAAGCGACCGCGAACTCAAAAAGGTCGTGGGTTCGTATCCGCCATTCGACTACTGGCGTGAACCACTCGTAACACAAGCAATTTAAGCTAACCGCGAGTGGTTAAGGGGAATATTAGTAATGTTTTTAGCATTGTTAATATTCTTTTTTTTTAAAAGAAAAGAAAAAAAAGATTCAATTATACTGTATGATCTTTTTTTAATGTGTGTTACCTCATAACTTTTCTCTGGGTAAATCGATTTCGATGATTCTTTTTTTATCTGAAAGCTGGTGCTTCTCGTGTGGTCTTATCTGGTTGAATCAAGATCTTACCAGTAGTTATTAAGCTATCTTTAATAATGCGTATTTAATTGACTGCGAATACATTGAATCGATCGTATCGAAGGCGGTTGTACAAAATTTTAATCTTACCACTTGTTCCATTCTATTCAATATTTAGTGAATGAAGAAACATGTTCTTTACAAAAAAAAAACTTTCTAAAGGTGCTTAATATGCAATTACGCGTCGAAAAATATGTCTGTAGTAGCTTCTCGAGAGTTGAATAGTCTTTTGTAACGATAAGTGATTTACCATCTATGGCTTTATCATCACTTACCATCAGGTGAGATGGTAGACAAGCAATGGCTTAGAATTAATTTTAAAAAAAGTTGCGAGGCGTAAACTTTCACTTACCTGGGATGTGTTTGTACTATGTTTGCACTAGGGTTACCAAATCTTATAAGTGGATAAACTAGGTACTATATTATAAAGGTTGAATATGGAGTTAGCCTGTAAATAAAGGCTAAAATCGACAAAAATATTTCTTTAAAATTAAACATTTATTAATAAAGATATTAATATTTAATTCGCAACCATCAGCTTAATTATTTAAAAAATTAAGCAGATGGTTGCGAGTTAAATATTAAATATCCTTATTATAATGAGTTTCCGCAAAGTAACTCCAGATTCCATCAATTAAATATTGATTATCAAAATAGTATGTTTTTTTCACCATCATCATCTTGACAGCTTTGACAGTAATATATTTGATTTAGAGACTTTGTACAAATGTACAGATATGTATCGAAAATTGAACTTATTACAAGAGTTCTATCAAATATAATTAAAAAAAATTAATTACTTGACGAAGAGAATGATGCCAGTTTTCTCGATTTGTCGGAATATTCCCTTCCAAGATGCCAACATGCAGTATTGTTGTTTCGCTGTTAACGGTGACCGTGGATCGGCTGGTGGTGGCGGACGGTCGAAAGGGTCGTTGTTTAACTCTGACGCCGCCAACTGAGACAACTTGCAGCCCATGATGACTATTATCTCATTCACACTTAAACGTTACTTAACACTTGAAACTGTTTTGTTTTAAGCGATACACTTTTAGACATGTAATAAAATCACCAATTTAAATGTACGATTAAAAAAAGTTTTGTCGAAGTCTGTGATGCTGAGAAAACAAACGAGAACTATCGGTACTCGAGCGATATTACAAAAGTTAAATATTTATATAATTAAAAAACATGTAAAAGAGGAATTAATATAATATGTTACGTAATATTTATAAAATAATTTGTCTTTATTTGATCGCAGTCTTCATCTATAACCACATTCACTTTGTTGACAAAACATCATTGAGTTAAGTAATTCACATTAAATCTAAAAAAAAAAACGAAAGTGAACGACCAAAACACAATTATAATATTTTTCTCAGACTTAATCGATTCGCTGTGATGTAGTACTAAAACTCATTATTTATCAATAACGACGTCTAGTGTTTTTCCGATTATTTGAAAGATTTTGATTTTTGGGTTGGTTACTAGTGATGCGCGCGAAATTTGTTTTGTAACTGGCCAAACTATACGGCTAACACTCTCTAGTGACGTGACATGTTGATTATTATTTAATGGTTATATTAATTAATGACCGCATTAATTATTATATCACTCTTAAATTTTCCGAAGATTTTATGATAAGATGAAATATTCACAGTACACTTTAAACAAGGCCTATTTAATAAGTTTATATTTGCTTAATACCTTGTTAATAAATGAACGATATTCTGTAGATCAAAAATCTATTTGGATTGACGAAAACTTGCGGATTAGGTATGTGGAGTGAGTGCATCGACTCTCTATGCGCATAAATCCTTTTTAGGCTCATAAATTTATATGAGCAAATTTAGCAAAGAATGTTTTTTTTTTGTCATTTTGAAAAGGATTTTAACTGCCATTGGTAAAGGATACTAAGCCACGCTATTTTCAATCGTCATAATTTTTTAATAATAATCGTTAATTATCGTTTGCCGCAATAAAATCTATTTCGCAACACTAGCGTTTTTGTTCTATACAAATTTAATGACGCATGTGACGATTGTGTGATAATGGTGCGGTCCTTTTTTGAAATTATGGTGGACATACGTCATAGCGGAGGGACGTTTTCAATAATTTTTTTCTAAATATAAGCCTTGACACCTTAATATAAGATCGATTTATAGAATTTTACGAACTTATCGGTATTATCTTTGCCGTTATCGTCTATCAATCGCGGTGCTTTTAATAACACTGAGTCCTACCACAAATAATTAAATATCATCTGTCAGGAAGGCGTATAGAAGTTTATGCTAATAAAGATAACGAATTGGTTTATTCAGTACTAGCTTTTGCTCGCAGATTTTCCCGCGTGTAGCTTTGAAAACGATATTATTTGGATACATCACAGCTCACGTTCACTTTTACCATATATTGGCATATACATCATAGCATTTTTGTGTGAAGAGGATGTTATAGGATTGTGCTAAATGCTATATAATAAGCTATCTCACAGTAATCTTGTGTTTTTTTCGGAATATAAATTTTCACGTTTGTTTTTCCAAGATGAATTTCCAGCGTCCCGTGGTAATTATAGAATTATGTGCTAGATTATTCATATTTATCATATCTGGGAAGAAATGGCTTTTTTAAGTGAAATAAGTAATCTCTGTCATTCTTCCTAAACTAAACTCTATCTCGTTGCAAAATCGATCCGCTGCGTGAGGAAAGACAAACCAACAAATACATGTTAGCATATAATATATATATATATATATATATATATATATATATATATATATATATATATATATATATATATATATATATATATATATATATGTTAGTAGGTATAAATAAATAGATAATCCATGCGTTCTATGGATTTTTTTATCATATTCTAAAAGCGCTTTTTTAGCTTTTAACTAATATACTATCGTGGCGCAATGACCCAAAATGAGTCTTGACCTCTACAGCTTCACTAGAATAAAATAAAATATTTCAACAGGAGCTCATTGTATCCAAAGAGTCCGCGAGATTAAATTCTCAACAAAAGATCATTTTCAAAGATCACAAGTAACAACATAAAATAACGAAGAGACAATTATAAATACGTTTTATTTCAAACTGAAAGTAACATTTCTTTATACACAGATCGTATCATTTGATACATACAAACATCCATCTTATATTTATGATAATTTTTATTAGCTATTTCTTAAGCACATTTTACTAACACAGTTCCAAAATCATACGTGTAACGCTATGACAACAGATTTTATTTGTAGAAAATATGATAAAATTCACGAACAATTAATGTACAATTACAAATAATTTAATTACATAACTGTACTGTATAAACAAGCCCATTTAGTAAAGTAATTATTTATGTATTAAACATATAGTCACAGATAAGATAAGATAAATACAGTTAAGAAAATAATGGTAACAAGAATTCTTTTATTATGCAGTAGGTTTAAAATATGCTTCTGAAAATACAGTTTTATTTCTTTAGAAAAGTTTTAGTAGAGAAGTTTAATTCACTATTTGTAGATTATATTATGTTACACTTTCATAATTGTATAATTCGAGCTAAAGCATAAAATAGGTAGAATGTAGTGGTCTTTAAGCACCTGATAACTGGTATAATAACAGTATGCTGCGTTTTATACTGATACTAGCTGATACCACTGATATCCGCTCGTTTCGCTGAGCGCACGATAACATTTTATTGCGGAACCTAGATGCATAATATCAAGATTTTTTTTGCAAGAAGTTTAATGGAAAACTTTCATAAACTAAAAGATAAAGATATAGTTTAAAATTTTTTAGCACACAATATCATTTTGACGTTTGTTTATTTTGTACACTGATACTGCTTATATGGATTTCTGTTCGCCTGGTACTTTTCAGACAATAATTCACGTAATATTTATAAATAGAAAAAGGTAAAGTTGGTGCTCACGGCACGTAAAACAAATCAAAATATATAGATATTGTTAGTAATTTTATTAGTAAGTCAATTGGGAAGAAAATTCTCCAGTAGCTTTACTGGTCTATTAATAAGAATATTGAGAATTCACCAATATAACGTATTTAAAAATCTAGTAATAACATTTTAAAAAATAAACTATAAATATAAACTGAAATACCAACTCATCGGTTGAGAAACACTAAAATATAAAGAGAAACTTTTAAAGGTAAATAATGTGGCCATAAATAAAGAAGCAAACTTTTTAAATTAAAACAACTGTTACGCCAACAAAATTCGCGTAAAAAACTTATACCTCGTGGTGAATATTTTTGCTTACTAGCTTTCACATTTTACTGAATTTTAGCAAATAATCTAAAAACTAGATCCCTTCACATGTTGTGATGATATAGAAATAAAAGATAACGCAAATCGAGATAATGGACGTACGATCTCTAACCGATTATAATAAACGAGAAAATATAGGAATATCTTATTCAGTCTACGCCAAACATTTATTTGTTTTTGTGCAAACAAAATGGAAGCTCTGAAATCGAAGTATTGTAATACTTTTTAGGTATAAGAGGCTTGCGTCAACAAAGAGTAGAGTGCGAAGTAAGGCCTGGGCAAATATAATAATGTGAGCAATTTCTTGGAGCTCAAAGCTAAAAGCCACTTGGTAAATAGTCGTGGCCTTTAAAGAATGTTGGCGCTTTTCTAGATTTTAGTTTGTGCTAAAATTAATATAATTTTAATAGTTCTCTGTTATTGATATTGACGAGATAATAATGTTAATTACAGTGTAAAGGGAGGCGTCTAACTTGTTTCTATAGTGCTGTATAAAAGTACTATGATAGCTGCGCTAATGTGTCGTATTAACCGGGAATGACCACGATCTCACAGAATACGAGCATAAATTACTTAATATACCAGCTTATAATTTCATATGTTATGTGATGAACTAAAGACTCTTTTTACTATTGGTGACGAGGAAAACTTTATAAACCATTGATATATCCCTTTTTATTTTTGTTTAGCCAAATTTTTGACAGGTAGATATGACTTCTAAGCATTTACTTTGATAATTGAACAATTTTGTGCTCAAAAATGAAAAAAAAAACATAGTGAAAAAAAATAATAAAAAATATCTTACACATTTATACATGTTATGGTTTTCATTATGATACGTCGTAACTTTCTTATAGTCTAATAGTGTTTATTATAAATTATACACCCAGACATAAAATTAAAAGAAATAGACACTACATTGTAAATTCATTTTATAAATAAATAAATAAAACTAATTCTTGTGCTATAAATTTGTTTTTGTGTGTCCCAGCTAATGTTTACTTAGGACTACGTCTACAGGGAAAATTGCCCAACGAAGTAACCTATAAAAATAAATATTAAGTTAGTAAATACCCTAAGCTTACAATTATTTGAGGACAGATTTAATTCTATCTGCCCGATAGTACACAAAAAATAACAACAAATAATGAATAAAAACTAAACATTTCTTTTAAATCCAACAAAAATATAGAAACTTTTTTAATATAATATTTTTTGATAAACATTGCTCCTAATGACTGACTAATGAAGTTATTAATACTGTTTGATTAATACCCATTAATACTTATAAAATTATCCATTGAATTGGTTAACTACAAACGCTTAATTAACATCAAATAAATCTAATGTAAAATCTCTCCTTTACACATAATTACGAAAGAGCTTCAAGTATTGAAGTACTTGTACTGATGCGAAGGAAAGTGTTAAACATCGCCTATACACATATTATACACAATAGATACACATAAACAATAATTGAAAACGCATCTGCATCTTTTTTGTGTGAAATTGACATTTTTTAACTTATACACGTTTTATAGTGTTACAAAATCGTAATAAACTTCTTCTTTCGATTCGACTTTGGATTTCCAATCTCTCGCAAATGTTACTACACTTGCTCACGTTGTGGAGTTTCCAGGAGCACCGGCTTTCTCGTATCCTTCTACAAGAGTTTCTAAAATGAATTTAATCGTTATTTTATATATGTTTTCAACGTTCGGTGTGTAACGATCTCCTAAAGTAGATTCGACTGCAGCTAGGAACGGAGCTTCGATTTTCTGGAACAAATATTATGTATTAGAATTAAAAAAAAGCGCTCTGCTAAGTGACATAGAAATCAGTAGTATACTTAATTATTAGGTTATAATATTGTTGACCGTGGAGTGGCGCGTATGAATATCCATTTTTCCATATCTCATAGATGTATTGTACCTTTGGCGTATAATCTATTTGGCATGTATTTTTTTTGTATTTATTTGATCTATTGGCCATGTATTCTTTAATTTGTTTTACCTTTTGATATGTATCTTATATTATTACTATTATTTAAAACCGTAATTTCTAAATTAGCATGCTGACGTTACGGGCATACTGTAAGCCAGCATGTACCTACACTGTTTTTGAAATATAAATAAATAAATGTAAATATAAATAAATATCGTGGGTGTCATAAGAGGCGAAAGAACAACAACAAACCAGGTGATGTGCTACAGCGTCTTCCTGGTAATAATTAGAAAATAAAAAAATGCGGTTGCCAATCTGGTTGCCACCAGTGGTGATTATGGCAATATACCTCATATAAGGCAATCTATGAATCCTAGTCTAACCTAGGAAGTTCAGCAGGGTACTTGATATTGCTCTTAATGAATGAAATTTACTAGCCGATATGGAACTCTCTCTTTGAGGAGATGATTGGCGTTAATCACCACAGATGTATTGCACCTTTGACCCTTCTCCCCATCGTCAGTCTGAGTATTTATATTTGGTATATACTGAGACCATTAGATCTCAATGGTATTACGACGGACGAAATGTGGTGATTAATTACGTCGTCATCAGCGATATAAAGATGTAGACGCAGAGAAAGTGTTTAAAGAAACGACATGTGGTAGGTATGCCCTCTGGAAAGATAAAGCTAATATTGACGTAAGGTGACTGGAAAAATTTGGATGCCTGAACTCAATTATCGTGCTAAATGGCAAACCTTAAGAAATGCATATGTTTACTACAATATTGACGATAATGATAGTATAAATATAATTGATATCATCATCATTACATTTTCCCAGATCTCAAGCCTCGCTCAGTAACCCCAGTATTGTCACAAAATACAGTCAGCGTTCATTGATATCAATAAATATAATATATAATGATTTAAGTTTTATATAATATGTATGACTATATAGAGCCGTGGTAGCTCAGATGGTTAATTGCTCGCTGTAAATATGACAGAACGCGAGTAAACCGGGTTCGATTCCCACCGGCTCCAATGTCAATTGCAATTTTAAGTGCCAATTTACCACGTGCTCGGTGGTGAAGGAAAACGTCGTGAGAACCTGTATGTGTGAGAATAGGAATTTTTTAATTTATAAATATTTCAAAGACATGTGAACGAACACTTCCTTGCCTTAAAACCTGATAGATATAGATGATATAGATACGAGAGGATTATATTTTTGCAGTGCTTAGCAACGAAAATTCGAAACTAATACAGATTCAGTATTGATGTCTTGGGTCGAACTCACATCCCTAAGCTACCATGGAAGCAATATTTATTAAGCAAATATTTCATTGCGTTTGTCACACATCTACTTTATACGCCATTTTGTTGCCTTAGGTGTGTCACGTACGCCCATATCGCTACAGTCTAAAAAGGTCGCTCGCTATCCATTATTGGATCGAACTTGGGCCTTGCTTGGCCTCATTAGGAGTCAGTGCGTGTTGCGACTATTGACAGGACTACGACTTTTATAGAGCAACTGTTACTCAATGGTATTTGCTTATAAAAAAAAGCTTAAATAAAATTATTCTATCTTCTTATTCTCGAATAAAATTATCCTAAAAAGAATTTACTCCTGATTAATATTCTCAACCTCGTTAGAAATATTAGCTGTATAGCTCCCTTGTACGATATTAAAAATTACAAAAATTCAAGACAACTTCATCATCATCATCATCATTATCAGTACAGCCCTTCGCATGTCCTTTGCTGAACATAGCCTTCTACCAAAGTATACCACAAAACACGGTCCTGAGCCTGCAGGTTATACCGGTACAGGGTTTCCATGGTTGACATGGTCAATCTAGAACCTTTTCTATCCTTCAGTGTGGTGCTAAAAATACATGTCGTACTAGTTCAACACTCCATCCAGTGGCGGACTGCCCTACACTTTATCTACGAGTACGAGACTACCAATCGAGAACTATTCTTCTCCATCGGTTGTAGGTTCTTTGAGCTAAATGAACGGCCCATTGCCACTTCAGCTTACTAATCCGTTGGGCTATGTCGGTCACTCTGGTTCTACGGTGAATATCCTTATTTATGAGTTTATTACGCAGAGAAACTCCAAGCATAGCCCTCTCCATAGCTCGCTGAGCGACCTTAAGCTTCTTCATACAGCCAGCAGTGAAGCTTGACCACTTGTCAGATCTATAAGTGTAGGCGCACTCATAGGTGATCTCTATTTCCTTATTCTGATATTCCGATGGGATGATTATCCGACACGACCGGAGAGAGATCAGGCGCAGGACCAATAGTGTGCATTACGAGGCACGGGGGTAAAACACTCCCAATTTCTTGACTCTGGGCAGCTACTGAGAACTTCTTGACAGAAAAAGCTAATAACTTATTATAATAGCCCGACCCGGGATTCAAACTTAGGACCTCATGATTCGTAATTGCGTCTACGACTAACAGACCAACGAGGCAGTCATGGTCACAATTAGTTAAAATACATTATAATCAACATAGACTTGTTCATTTTTTTAACTTTTAATTTAGGTACTTAAAAAATATTAAGGGCATATAGTAAGTCAGCTCAAATTCTAATTTCGCCCCCACTTCACCGCGCGTCGTATGCTATGTACCGACATGTTTGTAATCACTAATAATGTAAGTAGATAATTATTTCATTAGGTTTATCATATTTATGCCTGTTTCTTAACGCCAACCCAGTCGCTTCTTATTTTTATCACGGTTATTTCCCATTTTAATTTTACGTCGTCCTGTCGCGTAATGTGTATTCTGATCGTAAGCGACACAACTTCTGCCTTCAAAAGCCTGAGCGATACTAACGGGGCGACAGGAATCAAGCTTCAAGACGCCGATAGTTTAGGTAATTTCTTTTTACAGTGAAAATAATGGTATTTAAAAAAAGTAAATAATATAAGCACTGCTTTATAGTTAGTTCAGTTAGTATGCAAAGTTTCATGAACTTATTTAAATTATTTTATGAATAAGAGCGGTTGTTCAGTTTGGAGGTAACTTTGGATTTTTTTTTCTATCAAGAAAATTTTACGGAATCGTGTTTTCGTCTAACATAGTCCTTAACATTAATCCTCAACTTTACCATATATTTATTTCAAAATTAATGCTGCAATACTTTCGGCATAACGGAGGATCTTGCTAAGCCATTTGAGGTTATATTTTCCCTTAAGTTAAGAACTTTTCTTTGCAAGTATCCAATAAAGTTAGGAATTCATCAACCGCGAGCTTTATTGACTTCGTATCAATTATTTTTTAAATGTTTGAATTAGCTGGAGCATTTCATTCGATTGGAAAAGTTTTCATACTAGCGCTTTGTAAGCTGAATGAAAACGCGTCAATTGATGTCGAAACCTTTGTAGCAAGGGATAAATCAAAAATTCACTCCTAGAAATAGACCTCCCGCATAGATCGCCTAATAGGGAGGATATCTGCCATAGCTAAGCGTGGACCTATGAGAAAATCATAGCCACGCGTGGCCCTTTGAGAAAATCTATGGGGGAGGCCTATGTTTAGCAGTGGACTTTTATAGGCTGTGAGGGGTAGATGAAAATATTATCACAATCTGATACGATCCCAATAAACCCGAGACGCATAGAAATATATAAAACCTATTCTTAAACACACAAAAAACATATATGAAAGTAAACCTTTTTTGCTTAGGATTTAGAAGTAAGCACCGCAAGAAGAAGAAAAAGAGAAAAATAAGGAGGAAAAGAAGAAGGAGGAGAAGAAAAAGAAGAAGGAGGAGAAGAAAAAGAAGAAGGAAAAAGCATATTTCTGCCGCATAATGGCAGTGCTTGCACTATTGTGTTCTGGTCTGAGGGATTTAGAGGGCTAGTAATAGGATCTGAGACATTCCATCTTAGTCTTCAGAGATGATAATGCATCTGTAGCTTTCTTTGTTCGAAGTCGGTTGCAGATGTCCATGGAATAGAACTAGTCAGTTACCATCAGGTAGACTGTAACTACGTTTATCATTTCAGTTTTACAAAAAAATTATTGCAATCGAACTGGCAATAAATTAAAAACGCAAAAACAGTGTTGAAACAAAATTTGTTTGCGATATAAATAATGTTTATATTGCAAAAAATTGGGCCGCAGTGTTGTCAGAAAACATAGCTCGAGTGAAAGTTTTCCCGAATAATGTATTCTGTTACCCCACCAGGGTACAGACCGTGACGTGAGTTATGATGCTACATCTATTTTATGGACCAACTATCCGAAATAACTTTGGTTTGATTTATTTTTGCCGGTGATTTTTTAACGTCACCTACTTGTAAAGGTGAGTATGGACGACTTTTGCGTATGTATTTTTGTCGGCGCGATAAATTAGAATTTGGGTCCTTTTTTAACCGACTTCAAAAAAGGATTAGGTAATCAATTCATCTGTATTTTTTATGTGTGTTACCTAAGAACTTTTTCTTGGTAAACCGGTTTTGATGATTGTCATGTGGTCCCATATAAATTTGATCAAGATCTGACCGGTTAGTTTTTGAGTTAACCTTAATAATGCGTATTCTGAATCTCTTCGTTTTTGAATCGCGAATAATCTTGGATGGCTTTTTCTACCAAATATTAAATAAACTTAAAAACCCTTTACACGTCGATGAGTTTGGCTCACGACTTTCACAAAAAAGTGCAGGTAGGTTTTCCTGTCATGGTTCTTTGACGAAACACCAAGGGCTCTTGTCTCCATAAATGTCCCCTCGGTTTTAGAGCCCTGCGGGATATTTAGAGACGATGGCAGGAGACCCAACGTATGACTGGTCCCTTGGAGAGAGGTTAAAGCCC